TATTGTCGACCTTGCCGCAGACAATGGATACCGAACCAATTCACGCTCATGAGCACAAATTTCAACATGTGAATACAAGTTACTAGTCGACAATACTCCAATAATGTGGATATAGGAGAAATTCAACGTTGCGAGATAAATGTGTTTGGGTTCCGACAGTAAATTCGTGAAACGATTTTATTAAGATCACCAATCGCGAACAAATCAAAGCTAGTTAATGCTGATTTGTAGTTAAGTAAATGTACAATTGTTGAGAAAGAAGACAAAGAGTAGTTTGTGGTGTTAAAAATCACATTAGTTTCTTTATGTTACATTGGGGATATTTATAATGTTACAAATAAAATGGTAGCTCTTGGATGGAAGTACACGTGACTTTATCTCCTTAGTTCAAGCGTCTAATCATAGGTATCAATTTTGACCTACTAGCTTATCGTATACTCAATGTTTGCATAGAGTCGTCACTTTCGTTGACAAGACTTGACATTCACACTCATTATTAGTGTCCCATTAATAATACCTAAAAGATTTCGTACATAAGTCTAGGATCTCCCTTGCGTGGGTCATCACCAGGTGGAGGGAGTGGCCTGGAATTCTTCCAAGGCTACTAGCCTCAGAACTTCAGCATTGCGGAAGGGATGGGCCTCGAACTACTCTTTCTAGCCTTGTCACTCGTGTGTGGGGCTTCGTTGAGATGGTTCCAAGGCCATGAGTGGGTCGGGTGTTTCACCAAGGAGCCTCGGCCATTTTTGCCTCGTGGATAAGAGGGCCCTAATTACGTAGTGCCACGTGTGGTAAAGCATAACAACAAATTTTCATTTTTTCATTTCATTATCGCTTACTTCTGAAGTCTATGCATGATATAAATAAACCATGTATAGACTTGGGGTAGTCATTTCGTTAATGCATACTACTGAAGTCGACGCATGATATAAACAAACCATGCATAGACTTGGGAGAATATTGTTATGCCTCGCCACATGTGGCAGCATGTAACCAGAGCCTTCTTATTCATGTGGCAAAAATGATCGAGGCTTCTTAGCGAAACACCCGACCTACTCATAGCCTTGGAACCATCTCAATGAAGCTTCCCACATGAGTGACAAGGCCAGAAAGAGTAGTCTAAGGACCATCCCTTCCGCGATACTAAAGTTTTGATGCGACCAACCTCGGAAGAATTCGAGGCCTCTCGCTCCACTTGGTGACGATCTACACAAGGAAAATCCTGGAATTATGTATGAAATCTTTTAGGAATGATTGATGGGACAATCATAATGAGTATTAATGTCAAGACTTGTCAATAAAAATGGTGGTTTTGTGCAAAAATTGAGTATACCACAAGCTAGCAGGTCAAAAGTGATGCCTTTGATTAGGCACTTGAAGTAAGGAGATGAGCCCACATATACTTCTATTCAAGGGCAACCATTTCATTTCTAACACAATAAATATCCCCCCCAATGTAACATAAAGAAACTTTTGACACCACAAATTACTCTGTCTTCTTTCTCAACAATTTTACATTTACTTAACTACAAATCAGCATTAACTAGCTTTGATTTTGTTTGTAATTGGTAATCTTAATACAATCGTTTCACGAATCTACTGTCGGAATCCACACACATTTGTCTTGCGACGTTGAGTTTATCCTACATCCACATTTTTAGAGTATTGTTGGCTAGTAGCTCATATTCATATGTCAAAATTTGCGCATGTGAGCACGAGTGGGCCCGACATCTATTATTCGCAGAAATCGAGGTCCACACACACAAACATATATATATCAGCTTCATAAAGAAAAAACTATCGCAATAATAATATAAGATATTTTCCCGAAACGATGCTAAAAACTCTTTCCGAAATAGCTGCAATTGGACAATGTCGTATACAAGTAATACATGATGAGTAAAGTATCATCATACAGTGATTTATTATAGATCGCACTTTAATTAAAATTAACCCTTACAAGAACACAAATTCAAAAGTTCTTGTTTTGAGTTTAATTTTTCAATTAACAACTAAATAAGCAATCTAATAATCTTGAAAAGAATAAATAATAAGGTCAAAATTAATTATGGAAATAGTTGGAGTCCTAGTTTCACTTATTAAACCTAGACATTTTCAAATTTTTATTTTGGTTCAATTATAGTGTTTATGGTCAAGAAATTTAAAATAAAATATTATTGTTTGTTTCGCGAGTACTAATTATTACACACCTAAATAGCAAATTTTCATTTCTCGATTAATAATTTGATAAAAGTGGTACATAAAAACTTACGATAACCGCATAAATAAGTAGAAATCTCTCGATTTAATAACAAATTCATGAAAAATAAGGTTGAGTATTATGACATGCAATATCTCGTCGAACATGTATACAAATATCATATGATTTAAACATTGTTCTCAAACCTAAAAATAAATGAATCAAGTCAATCCAACCAATTTTATAAAATAAAGATTCAAAATAATGAATTAAATCATGAATAGAAGTCAATTAACTACATCGTTGATCCTAACTTGGAAGCTCTTATTCACGCCTAACTTGGAGCAGAAATCACAAAAATCATGTTTCTATGATAAAATTGAACCACCAAAGTCATGCCCTTCACAGGCATTTTGATGCCTTAAACTGTAATTCTCGAGCAATTTGTAGCCTCGATCACCCTTAAGCA